GTACAAACGGTAGTCGTGCAGGTGGAAGGAGTGGTGCTCAACTCTGAACCAGCTCTGTAAGCAACACCTGAGAAGTGAACGAAAGGTTTGTGTTGGTTTAAAATCTGACAAATGTCTGTAAATAAAAAGAAAGTCAAACATGACAGAATCAGAACGTTTGTGTCTGGATGTRGAGATTTACAGACCTGACACTCTGCAGCCACTCAGGTATGTGTAGCTCGCTGTTTGTGGAGCACTAACWGTGTTTGTAACAGATATCGGAGGATCCTGGACTCCATTCATCATAACAGTGGCACTCTGCAAAACAAACAGRAGAACAGGGAAGAGATTAAAACACAAATAAAAAGTTCTGCTTCTGCACTGAACACGGCGACAGGAAATGTTATTTACTCAGGTCCATTTTCAGTGCAGGCTCACCTGTTTACCTGCCCCAGTATAAAACAACTCCAGAGCYGCTTGTTGCTGAAACTTAGCAAAATTCACCAGAGTCTGTGAAGAGAGAACAAACACTGTCAGCCCCATCATCTCATACAGTATGTGCTCATAATTAACTAAAATAATACATTATTATTTCACTTTTATTACTCAGAACCAACTGAATGAGACTCACGTAGCTGATGGGGGTGTTCAGGTAGAACTGCAGGTAGCAGTTCAGAGGTTCTGTAATGGCTGGTATCAACCTGTGGACGTTGTTTTCTGTGAAGGCGAAGGGTCGCTCGATGCTGAAAAGCACCTGGTTCACTCTGGCGCCGAAAACACAGTATTTACTGGTCTGAGGTGAGTAGAAACCATCAAAGCAAATCACTGTGTTTGAGCTCGTGCGGCTCACCTGAAAACAYCCAAAAACACAACAAGTCAAGTTTCTACAAACATTCATCAGGACACAGTTAATACGACGAATCGACCTTTTAATTTAATTTAATGTAATTTAATTTAATTTTTCGGGGTCAAACGTGTTTAAAAAGAGGTGAAGCTACACCTGCTCTGCAGCGCCCCCCTCAGGTTCACCATGGTTCACACTTCATGAGTTAGGCTGTGAACTTTGCATAATAACTTAGAATTTACCCATTTTGATGCAATTATTTTTAATTTTCAACATTTACATTTAAATAAGCTTGTAGAAATTTTCATTCTAAACCTGGTACATATAACCTTAAAGCTCTGATGATTAAAATAAACAAAAGGTTTGTGTTTTTGTCTCAGGGTGGGGGTTTCCACAACATTAAACTCCAGACTGAGACTAATAATGAGAATTAGAAACAGAAAAGGAGGAAACCACTCCAAAGCATCAGGCTTCATGGACTCACATAGGCAGTGGTGTAATTCTGCCCAAAATAACTGATCTGACAGGAGGTGAAGGTGACCGCTGCAGGTAAAACCAGGAGATCCTGAGCAGCAGCTGAGGACACAGAGACATGACAGGAGTCAGCTCCAGGAAGAAAACATCTTAAATCTGATTTTTAATTTATAATAAATAATAATGTTACCTGGCGCTGCTATCAGAGCGCACAGGAGGAGCAGTGGGCGGAGCATGATGGAGTTGACCAATCAGCCGACAGACTGGAAACC